GCAGGGTAAGGTGGGGGGGGGGGGAGGGGAGGAGATGTTCCCCCCAGATTAAATGTTTGCCATTTGGCAGCTCTAATTGTTTTATTAATAAGCCTTGTGTGTTATTTATCATTGCTCGGTACAGTGACCTACCAGGCTTTACAAAAAAAATGTCTTTACAATATATGGAACAAGTGCCGGTTCTAAAACTCTCGTTCATGTAAGAGTTTACTTGAGGGGTGTCTTGTGTAGGGGTGATGTTCCCCCGGGCGGTGAGCCAGCACAAGGCTTATCCATCCGTTAGTCCCCCATAAACCCCGAGGGGGGAGCTGACATTGACCCTTTGTTCAGAGTCGAGGGTTTCCCTAGAGTCGGTGGTGAGCACTACCTTTGCCACCCCGCACCCCCAGGTTACGACGGGAAAAAGTGGGAGGACACCCTTCCCCATCAGCCATAAAGAAAGGAAAGGGGCCCCAGACCCCCTGAAATCAGCGCGCAGCTCAAGAACACATGCCCTAAGTAAGGGTGTTCAATTCAGATTAATTCACTAATCGAATAGTCGACGGGATTTTCATCGACTATTCGATTAGTCTATAAGGGTGCCTCTGCCTTCGAACTGTAGCAAGAGCCCTGCGCTCCCTGCACCACCTCAGCCTTTGAAATGTACAAGAGCCCTCCTGGGGCTCTTGTACATTTCAAAAGCAGAATCGCAGTAGAAGCCGTGCGAGCGGAGACGGCTTCAGTCCTCGCTCGTGCCGTTTCCGCTGCGCTTCATCGACTATTCGATTAGTCTATAAGGGTGCCTCTGCCTTCGAACTGTAGCAAGAGCCCTGCGCTCCCTGCACCACCTCAGCCTTTGAAATGTACAAGAGCCCTCCTGGGGCTCTTGTACATTTCAAAAGCAGAATCGCAGTAGAAGCCGTGCGAGCGGAGACGGCTTCAGTCCTCGCTCGTGCCGTTTCCGCTGCGCCTCAACCTCCCCTGCCCCACGCGGAGACGGTGCTGGGGGGAACCGGCTTTTAAGCCCACTCCCCCCAATGCCAGCTCCTTCCCCCCCTTTCCCCCCTTCTGCCTCTCTCTGATAGAGGCCGGCAA